AGGGCTGCTTCACCTCCGACTGATGGCTTCCCGAGCTCTTGCAGGGAGGAAGGTGTGGTAGCCATCCCCATACTCGGGCTAGTCTCCGTGCTCCCTGTCTCATGAGCTCCTGGACATTTACACACCTGATTTGGGCTGTTTTTTGGCCTGGGAAGGGAGGCAAGTGGCCTAAAATCTTGACACAACTGGGGAAGCACTGGTGGCCTTTCTCTCTTGCCTTCTCCTTCCCCAACGAATGAACACCATCAGGACACAGCATAAACAAAGTCAAAAGACAAATGACACCTTGAGGGGAAATGTTTGCAATCTGTATCACACATAAAGTGATGACATATAAAGATCCCTTTGAAACTGAGAAGAAAAAGAGCAATAACCTAACAGAAAAATGGGTGTATGACATGAGGAGACAGTTCATAGAAAAAAAGAAGGCAACTGATTCTCAAACATACAAAACTGTGTTCTGTCCCATAAGCCATCAGACAAATGTTATGATAAATCACAGAGAAAAAAAACAAAACTTCACTGAACAATCAGTTCTCGTTTATTAAATTGACAGTTCATTCTGAGGCTGTGCTGGCTCACGCATTACTGTGGGAGTGCAAAGTGGAAGGGAAGCTGGCAGTACCCAACCAAGTGGCATATGTAGTTACCCTCCCAGCTTAAGTGAGCCCCACTCCCATGCTGGAACCTGGTGCTCATCACTATGCTCCCCGGGGGTTCCAGTCCCCCAGCTGGCTGCCCCGCCTCCAGCTGGCTGCCCACCATCTCCAGACTGCCCACAACACACCTTCTTTCCTCATAGTGCATCCTTTCCCATGCCAGTCCAGTACTCATCCTCCCCTCACTGCCCCACAAATACAACCCACGTATTCTGTCCCTGCAAATTCTCACTAACATTTCCCTGGTTTGGAATGTACTACTTTATCCTCTAAATTCTACAAGTCTGTAAATTCTGGTTCGAGACTCACACATTCCAGAATCCCTCCCTCCCTGCTCTAGCTCATAACTAACTTCTTTCTTCTTTATTGCTCATCTTCACTACAACATTTGCTTCCATTAATTATCGACTCCGCCACCACCTCCGTTGCCTTCATCTCTCTTCCTTTACCTTCACTAACACCACTATCATCATCATCACCATCACCTCCACCTTTATCTTCACTAGTTTCATCTCTACATCATCTCTACCATCACTGGTTAGCTACTTCCACTGCCACTTCCATCATCATTTTCACCACCAATGCTCTGTTACTTTTACTATCATTTCCTTCATCACAATAATCATCACCTCCAATTTTACTTCCACTGACTTCATCTCCTGCATCACCTTCACCACTACTGCTCCGTCGTGTTCACTACCCACTTCTACCACCACCACTTCCATCATCATCACCTCCACTTCTGTCTTCTCCACCTTTACTTCTGTGGCTTATCCTCACTCCACCATTATGGCCACTGCTATTTATTTCTTTGACCTCTATCCTTAGTGCCTCTTCCTCGTTATTATCAGATTTTTCTTCTCTGTCTCCATGTCCTTACCTTCGACATTGAACATAGAAACCTCCTACCCTTGCCCATAAGTGATATCCATGTAAAAAATGAGCCTCTTTGTTGAAATATGAGACTTGTATGAAGAAAATAAAGTCAGATATTGCTCAAACCCTTGGGTATGGGCATTCACAGCCCTTTTTGGGCTCTAGAACTTGGCACATATGTGAGTAGTGAGGGAAGAGAATGTATGTTCAGTTCATTGGGTGGGTTCACAGGCTCAGTAGCTCCCACTCTGAGTCCTGCTTCCCTATCATTATCAGAACCAGGGTCCCCCAGGCTTGAGGCCAATGATGCAGGAAGCAGGAGCAGTGCCAGGCCGAGTTGGATGAGTGGTCAGTCCAGCCCAGCCCTTGGTCTGCCCTGTCTGTGAGGCTTGCTGGGAAAGTATGCTGGTGCTCCAAGACTCCAACCTCAGGTGGTCAGGCGTAAGTGCCAAACATCCCCAGCTGCCCTTAATAATCACTGTGACTCTCCCATCCCTGAAATTATCAAAACCCTCCTTGAACCAGTTTTTGTTTGTCTCCCTACTGTCTCTAGGGTGGATTAATTCCAGATGTTTGCAGCTTCCTGGGCAAAGTACTGCTTCCTGGTTTTTCCCCCCAAAGCATCCCTTTCTAAGTTTGCTGGGGGTCCTCCCTGTTTCCACCATTTTGAAGTGCTGAACCTCCTCCATATTCTTCATGATGTGGGCACTGTCTTCTTCTCAATACTCTTGAGAATAAACAAGACAAATACGTAAATCTATTTTCAGTCGAAGTTCCTCGGTGCTCTTGTGGACATAATCACTCTTTCCCGAACTTCCCCTTGTGTAATGATGCCTTTATCACTGGGGAGTGGGAGTGAGTTGGATGTTGTTCCACATCATGAAACCCACGTTATCAGTTACTCATCTGATACCTTTGTATGTGCCTTCAGGGTAAATTCAGAAGAGGCGCATAGCATAAAATGCTCCTTCAGATCTGGCCTCCTCTCTCACCTTCCTGTCCCTGCCTCAGGCCCCTGCCATCTGCCAAGCAATCACAGCTCTGTGCCTTTGCACCTGGGGCTTCTCCTCTTGGAATGCCCTTCCTTCCCTTCTTCTGGCTCAAGACCTAGGTTAGGCACTGGGTCCCTAGAAGGCTTCCCTGATACACCAGGGTGGGCTGGATGCCTTCCACTAGGCTCCCAAAGCCCCCTGAACTCCCTCAATTAGAGCGTTTATCACACTCCCACCGTAACTGTCAGGTTAGGTACCCCCATCAGGCTGCATCATCTCCACCCAAACCCAGACCTCCACAAGGGGAGGGGCCGTGGTTTCATCTCTAACTTGAAATAGTTCGTATTATTAGTTTGAGATATCTCGTTTAAGAAGTTCCTTGTATTATGTTTATACCTATAAACCTTATCAAGACAGCTCATTAAAGAGAGGCTTGTGAATGAGATAATTCATCTTCTTCTACAGAGAGGAGCTTGCCTTTTAGAACAAACGGAGGAGGAAAACGCCGGAGGCTTGGACACCGGGTCAGGGTTAGACTCAGTACCCTGGCTGGGGAGCGCCAGCTTCCTCTCTGGGGTGGGCAGTTTCTGGATTTCTGTGCTTCCTCAGACCCACTTCCCATTTTTGAAAACACAACTTTTCCTTCTATGATGAGCTGTAGTTTCACCAGGTTCATTATTTAACGCTGCTTTGAAGCCCTAGCTCACATTTTTCCTGGATTTTCAATATGGCATTTTAAATAGTCTTGTTGCTTCCTTGTGGACTATTTACTTTTAAAGCAGAACAATTTTCTATTTATTTCTATTTTTCCCTAACAATATTTTCCAATAGTTCCTCTTACTAAAAATGACAGATTTTTTTTTTTTTGGTTCTCCCCCTATCACCAGTAGGTGCAGTTTAATCACGTACGTGTGTTGAGGTGAGAGGTGTACCCAAATATTTCCTGTGTAAGACCCAGGTCACTTAGGACCACGCCCCGTGCGTGTCCTTCCCCGGCGGGTTCTAAACCTATATAGTGCCTGCTCCAGGAAGTGCTTGTGTATCTCCTTGTCCAACATCTCTTCTGTTCTGTGTTTGGACAAGGGTATTTCTGCTTTCAGAATAGAAGCCATGTTGGGCATGCGCAATCAACGTGGATGGATGCAATGTGCCTGGCCCAGGGGTTTCCAGAGCTCCCACTCAGAACAGTCCTTCCCTGGCAGGGTCTGTGGGAGAGGAGGAGCTGAGCAGTATGGACAGGCAGCAACGTGGCTGAGGGTCAAGCCCTCTGGGAGCAGAACCAGCTCCACTGTGGCTTGGGTCCAGTGAATTGGATCCCAGTATTCAGGAGTCTTATTGGATAGTGGGTGCCTCGTCAAGACACATGAAAGGGAGACCCCTCAAAGACCTCACTCTCCCTGGCTTCTCTGGCAGAGCTTTTATCTTTTCCCTGACTTTTCCAACTGGGTACATACACTTTATTTAAGCAAGGGGCAATGTCAGGGCACAGTTGATGGACTGTTGCTCTGACTCACATGTATAGCTTGACAGGCCCACTTAGCTAGCTCAGATCAGGACCACCCCCACCTCCAGGTTCATCATCTAAGCAATGACCTTCCAGGGACCACCTGCTTTCACCCCCCTTTTGATACCAGTCTCCGTCCTGAACTGAGCCGAGTAGCCATCTGCACAATCCTTTCTGGTGCCCTGTGTCCTCTCAAACCTAAGATGAACGTCATCGTGGAAGATGTTTCTATTTTAAACTTTAAAGCATGCTGGATGCTGCAAATAAAGCTGCTGTAGACATTCTTTGCCATGTCTTTTTGGTGACTATTCACATTCCTTTCTGTTGGTTGTCCATCTAGAGGTGGGATTGCTGGGTCAGAGTTCTACTGACCTTCAGCAGGTTCTACCAAATGCTTTTTCCAAAGCAGCCGAACCAGCTTACCCTCCCACCAGCAGTCTCTGAGAGTTCCAGTTGTTCCACATCCTCCCCGATACTTGGGATTGTCAGGCTTTTAATTTCAGTCTTTCTGGTGGGTATGTAGCAATGTCTCATTTTGTTTTTATTTACATCTATCTGACAAGTAATGATGTTGAGTATTTTTTTAGTAGCTATTTTGGATATCTTTGTAAAGTTTCTGTTCAAATATTTTACCTATTTTTTTTTTCTTATTGAGTTGTTTCTCTCCTTATCACTGACTTGTGGAGTTTTAACAGTAAACATTCTAACTAGGACTATTTTGTCAGATATATGGATTGCAAACACCTCTCTGTCTATGGTTTATCTATTCATTTTCTTAATGGTGTTTTTTGATGAACAGATTATTAATTTTAATGAAGCTTTGACGAACAGGCAATTAATTTTTTTAGTTGAAGTATAGTCAGTTTATAATGTTGTGTCAGTTTCTAGTATACAGCACAGTCCTGCAGTCACACATGAATATACATATATTTGTTTTCATATTCTTTTTCACCATAAGCTCAGGCAATTAATTTTAATAAAGTTATTAACTTTAATGAAGTACTTTTAAAATTCTTTAATGCCTTTTGTGTCCTGTTTAAGACATTCTTTCCCTTCCTCAGGTCATGAAGATATTTTCTTATGTTTTCTCATAAAAAGATTGTTTTACCTTCCTAATTCAGGCCTGTGATCCACTTTGAATTAATTTTTGTGCGAAGTATAAGTTAGGGGTAAGGGCTAATTTTTTTCCAACTAGATATCCAATGGCTCCGCTATCATTTATTGCAGGACATTTTTTTCTCCCATTGAAGAGCAATAGAGCTTTTGTTATAAATGGTAGCAGATTTATTCATCATAGCCCAGCACTGAAAACAGCCCAAATGTCCATGACTGGATAAACAGACGGCAGTACATCTATACAATGGAATACTACTCAGCAATAAGAAGGATGAACTACAGATATGTGCAACAGTAAGAATGAGTCTCAAAAACATTATGTCGAGGAAAACAGAGACAAGAGAATACATACTGTTTGGTTCCACGTATATGAGACAAAATT